CCACGCCTGACGAAGACCATGCGTCAATGGCTCGTCCCAGCCCAAATTCGACGACCACGTTTCCTGCATAATCAATTTAGCTCGAGTCAAAATAGGACCGACCAATCCGAGCGGATCAAACAACCTAGAAATCGTTGACAAAACCTCGCGTTTAGTTGTAACTGAACTTGTTATAGACTCGATTGAAAACTGAAACACGTCCGATCCGGGATGCCAACCCAATCCCAACGTTTTTATGACACCCGTATCAATTGATAACACAGACTCCCCGACTCAATCGGCGGCCCGCTGCTCAGGCACAACTCCTTCGCAATTTGAACGCCACTTATGAGGCTCAAAACCGCCCTCGCGCAACAAGGCGTCCAACTGTGAAATCAACTCAATCGCGTCGGCTTCGCAATCGACACCGGTGAGAATATCGTCGACATATAAATCGCTTAATAGAACCTGCGATGCTCGACCATATCGGCGCGCCCCTCCATCCGCCAACTGTCGCACGAACAGCCAAAAATGAAGCACACGCCTGGCCGTAGGTTACCGTATTTAATTGAAATTCGTCTATCGGATCGCTCGGAGAAAACCGCCATAAAATTCTCTGATAATAGCGATCCTCTTGATGCAGTAATACTTGTCGATACATCTTTCGCAAATCAGCTGTAATCGCGATGGCGGGCAATCGAAATCGCAAAATAATGTCTATTATATTGTTCTGTAAATTTGCCCCTACCATCAACGTGTCATTCAACGAGATACCCGACGCAGTTTTTGCCGAAGCATCGAATACTACTCTTAATTTGGTTGTCGTGCTTGATTCGCGAAGTACACCGTGATGCGGCAAATACACTGGATTCGATATGCCATTGCCTTCGGTAATCCTGGACATGTGATTTAACTCTATGTACTTGCGTATAAATTCGGAGTATTGTCTGCGCAAATCCGGATCTCTTTGAAATCTTCGTTCCAGATAGATCAATCATCTTATTGCTATCTCCTTTGACCGACCTAGCTGATCCCTATTCTCGCGGAAGGGCAGTCTGACCACAAACCGTCCAAACTTATCGCGAATTGTTGTGTTTGTAAAGTGGATTTCGCAACTCTGTTCCTCTTTCGACAGTTTTTTATTGTTATCTACGTATTCTTCCAATTCCCGAAATTTTCGTAACGTCTCGTCAACAGATGATTGCTGCGTAAATAAACAAGTATGATTATTCGAAAATTGACGGTTGGTCGTTCGACTTACAATAAGATGTTGTGGTATTGAGCCCGATACTATCCAACCGAATTTTGTATTTTGTAATATCGGTAAATTGTTGCCGAGTTCGATTTTACCGGTCTCCAACAATTGAAGAAAGAACTCTCCGCCTATGAGCGCATCGACATGACCAGGACTACAAAAAAATGGATCCGCTAACTTTAAATTTCCCGGAATAGATAACTTCGA